CCTAGGAACAGCTAAGATACTGTGCAGGACCCTCAAGCTCCCAGGCCTCTGGTAGAGGACCTGAGCTTGAAGGAAAGAATATAAGACTGCCTCAAAGTGGGGGGCGAGTGGGGAAGAATTATTTTATTTTTTTTATATATATATATGTATAAGTTCTTTGGTGATGTATCAAATATTTAAATGAAGAAGAACATTTTTGTTTTATTAAACCACAAATGGTTGTAGTGTTAATATTTTAATTTCCCTCAAATTAAAACAAAAGGAGTCAGACAGAAAATATAAATTACTGAATTGACTCATTGAACACGAGTTCCACAGTTTCATCAAATATCTGAAGTCCAGGTGTTTCCTCTGCTGTGAGGAGGAGTCAATGCAAACCTTCAGTGTGTTCCACTTCTACTTATCTGACTGCAGAGAACAGTGGACACAGTTTAACATGATGGATGTCAGGAAAGGACTGCTGCTGTTAGCTATCTGCTGTGCAGGTGAAACTCCTCACCAATCTATTATTTGATGTTTCTTACATTGTAGGTTTGTTGAATGTGATGGTTTGCTTTGTTGTCTTGACAGGTGTTGATGGTCAGACTCTGACAGAATCTGAACCAATGGTTAAAAACCCTGGAGATTCACACAGACTGACATGTTCAGCCTCTGGATTCACATTCAGCAGCTACTGGATGGGCTGGATCAGACAGGCTCCTGGAAAAGGACTGGAGTGGATTGCTTTGGTACACACATCTAGTTCTCATATCTTTTACTCCCAGTCAGTCCAGGGTAGATTCACCATCTCCAGAGATGACTCCAGCAGTAAACTTTATCTACAGATGAACAGTCTGAAGACCGAGGACACAGCAGTGTATTACTGTGTCAGAGACACACAGTGAGAGACAGTAATAGGAGACTCATACAAGAACTACTTCCTCTACTGACTTTAGCTGCAGCTGAAATAGACAAAAATTAAAATGGAGAAAATTATTTAAAAAGTCTTTTTTTTGTGTGCTTTTTTTTGGCAGTAGTGTTTATAGCAGAAGTAAACTGTTT